GTGTGTCTATACGTTTCTTAGATGTACTTCAATGTTTAACCTTCCGTCCTTTTTAATGCACACAGAACAGTCCAAAAAAGGCAGCTTGTTATCTTTAGTGTCCGCTCTTGTGAATTTAATGTTGTTGTCAACGAAGTCGATGTGTTAACTGAAGGTTTCTACTTCTTGAACTTGGACATTGTCCCAGGTGTCATTGACATATCTGAAAGAGTGGGGGATATTGATCCCTGATTGGAGTTCGCTCTGCTTTCCATTTTGTTCATGCTGAGACTGACCTCGTTGGGTGACACTAGAGGTAGGCTGATTTATGCATTGGCTGATTATTTAGACTGATTATTGCCATTTTTTTAATCATAAGGGGCCATGCTTATTAGTAAAATAAGCTGATGAACAGATACATACATACATACACACTGTCTGTCTGTCTATGTATATCCATCCATCCATCCATCCATCCCTCCCTCCCTCCCTCCCCAGGGGGAAATTTGAGGCATGTTCTAATTATACAGAAAAGACACATATGGAATAATCCAAAAAGAAGCAGAATACACACAATTGGAAAAAGACAATATGCACATGCACAAGTTGGTAGGGAGTACTACATTCATGATTACTATATTTATACGTATGTGTATATATGTGTATATATATATATATGTGTACGTATATTCATTCATACATGCATACAATACATATACAGGCAAGCATATCTGTGGGCAGCACAATATTGAATGTTATCTTCCACCTTTGTGCTAAACAGTGTTTCCTGCTGCAAGGGGGCTTTTTCTTGGGCATGACACTGGAAGACCGCAAAATGTTTACTGCAACACTGCACTAAATTTTGAAAGAACAATGGCAAATCTACCAAATGTACAAACTGTTAGCAGCTTTTACTTTAAAAATAAAACTGGGAAGGATTTATAAAAGGTTTTGTGCCTTGTGCTGCTTCTACCATTGACTAGTACACATCCCAGTGTGAGCATTTGCCCAGATTTATTAGTTTATTTTTTCAAACTCGTGTAGATGGTACTTTGTCTACAATAAACTCCACTAGTACTGACCTAAAATATACTAACAAAAATTGGCTTTATATAGTATCCTGTGACACCAACCATAAAAACAGCCATATCAGTCAACCTCTAGGTGACACTAGAGAGCACTTGTCTCATCCACATCTCTTGTCATTTTTCATTTGGAACAGATAGTCTGGAGGCACAGGTCCTGCAGGGTACAGATCTGGTCAGGGGGTGAAGTTGGGTCTTGTTTTTCAAAGAGCTATTTTGATGAATTTGTTTCTTGACAGTCTCTGTTGCGTGTGAAAAATGAGGTGACATCCAATGACAGGATGATTTCACCTGGGGCCGGTTTCAGGTGTTAAACTTGGCTGAGAAAAATCAGTGAATTTTTCCATGTGATGCAGGGCATTTCCTAACCAGAGGTGCTAAAATGGTAGTAAGGTGTTTTGTACTGTCAAACCCTTGACTTTGCTCCCCAGGAGGTTTCCGACTACTTGCTTTTACAAATGTGACTATACATCTTAAACTCAGGAACTTAAATTATACAACACCTATTAAGCCTGAACCCACGCCCTCACCCCTTGACGTTTGGTTGCCTTTCATTCTTTGGATTATTTTGTATTTAATGTGTTGACAAGCCAATCAAACTAAATACAACTTGTTCTAAATGCAGCTGAGCGTCAAGAGCCTTGGGAGTTCAGCTACTGTAGTAAAGTTTCCTTAAACCTCTTGAGACTTGTGATGAGTGTGATGGAGTTGTCATAGTTACAAGGCAAGAAAATAGAAATTTTAAAGCTTTTAAGCTTGCAGGAAATCCTACAAAATTATAGCGTAGAGCACAAGTTGTGTGAGAATAACAACAACACACGTGAATGTATTGTTCTGGTAGCTTTAGTGTGTTTTGAGATTAAATGTTGTGCAAGCTGCATGTTACAAAGGAAATCACGTGAAGACTGAAACAAATCGTGAAACCAATGTAAAGTACAATATGTAACAAGTTGAATAAAAATAATCTGTTACGGTACTCGATAAAAGAATAAAAATAATGTGACTTGCCTCCTTTTAAGAGCAATGATTGTCAGCTTAGGTTTTGTTTTAGCTTTCCCCGCTGTTCTTTTTATACAGAAACAATCTGCTACCCCAATTGTTTGCATCCTTCTAGCTACAGGGAACAATATTAGCAAATTTCCAGGTTTGAATGCCATGGCAAGTTTCAACTGCTTAAAGCAAAACGAAACACTCTTGTTTTGCTTGTGCCCCTGATTGACAATGACATCGGCTAGACATTTTCTTCTCCACTGGCACTGGCTGCATCCGTTGCACAGCAAATTTTCCCCGGTGAGTTTGATCGTTGTAAGTCTGAGGCGACGCTCTAGGGAACGTGTATGCTAAAGGACAATTTGTGCCCCCAGCATTTGCTATGATTCTGTTGACAGTGTTTGATTTCAGGCCATTCTTCATTGAAGTTGAAGAGACATTTGTGCCTATAAGACATAGGGATGATCATCTCTACACCCTTGGCTGCACAAAGTGCCTGCATCTCACTAATTAGATTTATTAGGTAGAAGCTCAGAAGGAAAGCCATTGGAACTTAAGTTCAATCATGCATATATATTATTATTATTACATTGACCATCCAGCCTTTTTTAAATTTTATTTTTTACCATTTTTCCCCAGATGAAGCTCTGCTGTAAAGGATGTGATGGATTTTAAGTGTAAGAGGGCAGGAAGCAATCATATGGGCTGTTGGAGAGACTCCTCTTGTTTTCTGCAGAGCCCTGATATCCTGATGGTGGTAATTACCACCCATTAATGCTTTGTGTCAAATCATGGCACCTGGATTGAAAGCACACACTTTTTATTTTTGTTCAAACCATCACAATTGCTGCTTCTTTTTTCCATTTGAGACTGTGAGGCTTTGCATTTCACAAAACATTTTTTTTTAAATAGCTTGAAGAGACATGAAGGTCATGAATTAATCATTCGGTCAGCTGATGGGGATAATTGTTGGTAATTTGGAGGTATTTTCTGAAAAGCTCTCATTTCATCAAGTGTCCAGTATGAGTGCAGATCTGTATTTCAGACAGCCTTGCCGGTGTGGCTGCTTTGAAATTGTGTTTACATTTATGTCCTTTCAGATATTGTTTTTCTATGTGACTGGAGGAAGAGAACAACATACCATATTTTTTGGATTATAAGGCACACTTATAATCCTTTAATTTTCTCAAAAATCAACAGTGAGCCTTATAATCCGGTGCGCCTTATGTATTAATTCTGGTTGTGCTTACTGACCTGGAGCCGATTTTATGTGGTACACATAGTCTATGTCACAATAACAAATTTTACTGGGCGATTAATTGTCTCAGAAATTATTGCGATAAACGATAATATTGTTTGACATTTGACAATAATTAGTAATTGTTGTCAAATGTAAGAAGAAATAATTGTTTAATTTTTGTGTGTAGTACCTTTCTTTGATGGTGAAGACTCTCAGTCATCTAGGACAGGGTAAATTCAAGACAAAAACAAGTGGACTTTATTTGTAACAGAAGACGTTTCGCTTCTTCGCTGAGAAAGCTTCTCGGATGAGAAGCAAAATGTCTTCCATTACAAATAAAGTCCAGTTGTTTTCGTCGTTAACTATTTTGAATTTACCTTTTTTTGACCACTGGATGGCAGTATAAGACTTTTTGAACCGAAGGATGGATAGCGAGGGAGTGAGCAGCGTTAAGAAAATGGGAGGGAGGCCCCTTGACGTGACATGAGCTGTCTCTCGTTCCTGTTTTTTGGTTCTCAAAATGGCAGACGCATGGTGTGGTTTGAGCTCTTTAGCGTAGCCTTTGTCACACAAAGCTTTTGATAAAAAATCAGTAAACAAGTTCTCAGCTTCTTTTTGCAGAAAAAAACAACTTTTTAGACAAAGGCCCAGGTTTCAACCATGAATTTTGGAGCTTTGACAAGACAGAGTTTTTTTCCCCCGACATCGGCCTGTTAGCTTAGCTTGTATCTTAGCTTCTCAGCTTAGCTGCTTTTAACGATCCAAAAACGCGATTTTGGACACTTAAAACGGATTTTAAAGAGAAAAGAGAAAGAAAGGGGTCAGTGAAGAGCACCTTAGTTGAGCCTTTTGTCATCCAGTGTCTTCAGTAGAAAGAGAGAGACACGAAGAAACGATAAAGATGATAAAAGAAAACGAGGTTGATCATTTTCATTTATCATGCGATTAATTTATTTATTGCTTATCCCAACAGGCCTAGGGTACATGGTGCTCAAAAATCTGTCAAAACGTTTTAGTTTTGCTTAATGCACCTTATAATTTGTGCCTTACGTATGAAAACAGACCCCTTCATTAATATTGCACCTTATAACCCGGTGCGCCTTATAGTCTGAAAAATATGGTACAAAAAGATGTTAGCAGGTTTTTGTGTCAGTAGATTTTCTCCAAAAAAAAAAAAAAAAAACCTACCAAAAAAAACAAACAAACAAACAAAAACATGTAGACATGTGGCATTGCGGTCTACATTGATGGTTGGCTTACAGCTAAAAGGCTTGTTCCAACCTCGACTGGGCCCCGGTGTGAAGTTTGCATGATCCTGCTGAGGCTGTTGAGATTTTCTCTACGTGTTCCTGTTACATCCCACAGTTCACAAACATGTTAAGTTAATTGGTGTTTCTAAATCTTCCACAGGTGTGAGTCTTAACTGCTCGTTTGTTTCTCAGTATTCACCCTACTACTTCAACAAGTTAACGCTTAGCTGAGAGGTTTTGAGTTAATTGTGAGCACGGTCTCAGATGATGATGATTTGTTGTTTATTCTTCTTGGAAAAAAGATGCTTGCAAATTCTGTTTTGACTGAAGACACTTTTTAGGCGTTTCAAAAGACAACTGAATCTGTTTTATGCTGTTTAGTCAGACTATAAAATAAAAAAATAAAAATGTCCGATCCTGGTGGATTTCCTGACCTCCTTCTCTGTCCCCCTTCAGTTGCACCGGGTGACCAACCTCGCTTCACTGGAGGCAGCTATCCTGGGAACACAGGCGTAATGAGGGAGAGGAGGACAACTGGTGACCCCTACTGGTCCTATTCAGGTGAGCTCTCATTTATAGTCTGGCCTGAGCTTGGAAATAGGTGGTGGGGGGGCAGCTCCCCTCCTCGCTGACTTGTCTGTCATTTCCATATTTTTTCCCTCTCCTTTTTTCTCTACTATTTTCTAGCAACCTTTGCACTTTTGTCATTGCTGCAGCTAGAAGAGTCGATTTAGGTGTTTTAGTATTCATATAATGGTGCTCCTGAACTGTATATTTTCATCGCTCTTAATAACTGTAATTAAACTAAAGCATTAGGGAGAGAAACACTGACATATGGCATAGGGATTTAATTTTCAGATGGTTGATGTTAGATTATGATGTTGTACCTGACTGCGTGTGGCTATATATAATAAAGCAGCTATATTTGAAATGCGTTTGTCATGTAGGAAGTACGTATTAACAACGGTAAGTATCATTTCAAGCATATGTACATTTACAAAAATCTTTGATCTTTGAACCATGCTCTTCCGTGAACAGTTCGGTAATATATTTTTATATTTTGTTGGGGCAGTGAAGAGGTCAGATAAGCTCTGTGAGAGAACCTCTGCTCTTCTAGCATCACACTTCCACACTCATGCAAATGAACACAGTCCATAGTCATCTATCGAGCAATTCCAGTGGGAAATCTGGGTTTCTTGCTCTGGCTGAGGGCACCTCACTGAAATGGCTCAGGAAGGGAGCACTCGTGTTTACAGGTCCAAGAACACCACCTTGCAAATAATGCTGTTTTCCCTCTGCTACTGAAGTGCATCGCAGCTCTAAAAAATATTACACAGATAGAATATTCTGTCTTTGGTGCTGCAGTTGTGTGTCAAAAAAAAAAAGATTGTAGGAGGGGATTTAGGCAAGAAAATTGCACAATTCACAGTGGAAAAATGAACTGTGCTCACTTTGGACTCACGTTTGTTTTGTATTCATGTCACTTCTATTAGTAGCCTTCGGCTCCCTCAGTTGTCTGGTAGAGGCTGTGAAAGACTGTCTGCCTTGTCTATCCAAGCATGACAGCTTTCTCACAATGTACAAGGTATGTGGAGCCCATAATAAGAAGACTAATCACTTCAAACATGGTTTTGTTTTCTGGAATCCTCTATGCAAAGAACCGTTCTATAAATAGTCAACCTTAATCACCTTTTCCGTTGCCGTGTCTTATCAGATGATGAGATTAAATGGTTTCAGTGCTTCGATTAGAATAGAGTTTTGATGATACAACACTATGGTAATCAGCATGTTTTGGCCTGTGCTTGTGTTTGTGGTTAATGTAAAAAATGAGGAAAAACCACAGCGTGTGATATAAATCACCCAGCTGATTAGATGAGGTAGGTAAAGGAGCAAAAACAAAAGATAAATTCTCATTTTACCTTTTTGTAAAAACATTAATAAAGAACAACCTGTCCTAATTTTTGGCTCTTTGTTAAAAGGCTTTAGTGATGCCTGTTGTTGACATTTCTTCTATTTTAGGGGAGGTTATTTTGGGTATATTCATCTAAACTCTATAATGTTTAAATGTCTAATGTCTAAACTCTCTCATTTTGATGTTAATTAATTCCTGTATATGCTTGGGCCAATATGAGAAACAGACAGGATAACCTTGAACAAAAGGCTTTGGTTTCATGATATAAAAAAATCTAAACGTATCATATGATAGAAGTGTGTTAATGTTTTATTTAAAAACAGATATGCAGCTACTATTACTTAATCATACATGACACGATAATGTAGTGGTTTTGAAACATTGTGTTGTACCTTAAAAACAAAAACAGGCCCATACCCAAATCAGTAATTGCTGACTCAGTTTTATGCACTTTATACAAAACTGATCTGAATCGGTGTTCCTGGTGAGAGCTATTGATTTCCTAATTAAAAAAATCAAATATACATTTTACTAATTACATATTTTTCATTTTATTTCACCTTTATTTACCGTAATTTCTGGACTATTGAACGCACACGAATAAAAGCCGCACCCACTAAAGAAAAATAAAAATTGTACATATATAAGCCGCGCTTGTCTATAAGCCACGGGTGTTCACATTGGAACATGAAATATTAACGCAAAAATTTTTTAAACTTTTGATTAAATACGTATCAGTAACGTACACAAATGCGTACAGTAAATGTTTTTTTTTCTTTTTTCTGAAGAGTCATGATCCAATAGCAGGCTTGAGCAAAAGTTGCTCTGCGCATGCGGCCAGTTTTGGTAAACGATTTCTCGCCGCCAGTCATCCAAACCTCTCATCGAGCTCGGAGTGCCACATTAATGCACGATTCACTCTGATGTTGAGTGGCTGCAAATACTTTGTTGTGGGAGAAGGTGGGGAGGAGAGAACGAGGGAAACGAGAGAAACGAAGAGAGGTAGAGGGAAGGGAGGCACAAGAGGGAGGGGAGGAGAGGGGGACAAAGTGCCCCCCTCTCCTCCCCTCCCTGTTTTATTGGTCCACTGTGACCTGTTTGGTAATTTCAGTGGGCAGATTTTATTTTTATTTATTTATATAAACAGATAGTCTCATTGACCCCCCCCTCAAGAGAGTCATGTATTGGGCACCTATGTGAGTGCCCGGGTGTGACGAGGCTAAATGTTTTGGTGACGTGAAGCTCGTTAGCCCATTAAAAAAAAAAAAAAAAAAAAAATCCATAAATTATCCACAGAATTGTATAAGCCATGGGGTTCAAATCTGTGAAAATTGTAGCGGCTTATAGTCCAGAAATTATGGTACGGTGAAATTAAACATTAATTTGGCCCAATTTAAATGCTGTTTATATTCTTAGTATTTAATTAATTAATTAATTATTTTTTTTACAAGGCATGCAGACCGACAGATCTCCTCATACATCATTGCAAACTTGATTTTGTACATCCAGCATTTATTATTTTTTTGTTGGTATTTTCATTTTTTTTTTATTTAGCATGTATGTTAAGTTGGTAATTGAAGATCCACAGGATCTCCTAATATTTTGAATATCAAGAGATCCATGCAAATTTAAACATTGTGCTAAAGAACTGGTTGACATGGGTTTATTTTTGTAAATTCATCTCAGGCCTGCAGTGACCACCGATACTTGTGACGGCAGCTGGCTGATTGTACAAAGTAAAAAGGAAGCATTGATGGAACACAGCACTGTCCATTACTTTGGGAATGTAATTAGTGGCTAAAGCTGTGAATGGAAGACAGACAAGCGTGCCTTAGACGCTAAATGGTTATTAAGAGCATTTGCTCTGTGCAAGTGAGTGTAACAGAAATGCACGCAGTAGCGTTAGCCTCAAGCTAGAATGCACTTCTGCAAGACAGGCTTCAGCTCAAAGAGCTAGACACACATAACGTACAGAGGAGCAAGCCTTTCCTTTCGACTCTCTGTGTAGCCTCCCAGCACAAACGACTCCAGGGGAGAGCAGTTTCAAGAAAATGGAGCAATGCAGGCCCCAGAAAGTACAGCAAACCAAACAAACATGAGAAAAGTTTTAGAATTTTTTATATCAGGCTTACAGTCAGATTAGTTAGCTATGCATAAAGAGAAAAAATAGACGTGTTTTATTGCAGAGTTTATTTGGTTTTAATCAAAAATGTTCTCTGTTTTTATAGGTGTGGGTTTATTTAACTATAATTATACCGTACGTATTGAGATGCATTTTTTATGCTGTCCCAAGCTTTAAAGATTAAAACTGTGCAATAAGATCTCTTATCAGTTCATGACATGTCTCTTTCCTGAGCGCTTTGATTATGAACCTCAACGCAAGTAGTCTTGAAACTTCACACCTTGAAACTTGATTAAAAGTTATTTAAGGCTGTGTGTGTGTGTGTGTGTGTCTGTGGGTGAGTGCACATGTGGAGGCATTTTTCATAAGAGGGATGATATCATACTCACCATAAGACTCCCACAGGAACAGAGCTATGCATCATTTCCCCTTTTTATATCTCTGCAGGTTCTCACATCATCTCTGTTAGTTTCACTCGCTTCCTTTATCGGTATTTTTATATTTTTGGCCAACACGCAAACTAGTTTGCTTTTGATCGGCTTTTCGTTGATTTATTGTTGCGGTTTAATTACAGCGCAGCAGTTGGGAGTACCTTAATGTGCATTTGCAGAAGCATTAAGTCTGATCTTCTCTAACATAGAATAGGAGGGGAAAAAGCAAAGAAATGCTAGCATTTCATGTAGAGACCAATAGATTATTATCCCCAAGATGACATTCAATAAAAAAAAAAAAAAAAATGTTTTTTTTTGCACGATGAGATTGTTCCTGAATTAACGCGTACCATTTTAGACTGAAGTGAAGCAGACGATTGTTAATGAAAGGCTGATGTTTCGGCTTTGATGTTGGCTAGAAAAATAGAATAACTTTGTGAAATGAAGAGAATTAAAAATGCAGTAAAGAACACATCCAAATGCAGCCTAATTCTTCATCTTATATCTCTTGGCTTGGCTATGTTATAAATGAAGACTCAGTGTTTTTCCACATTCAGTTTGAAGGTTGAATGTTTGAATTGATGATACTTTAGAGTACCGCCAAAAATTGATTCTACAGCTCAAGGTGCTGCATATTAGTGATTTTTCATATTAACAACGTAGTAATAGCGCAGTGCTTCTCAGAGATAGCACTCTGTTTTTCGTGCAGCAGTTGAGGATGTTTGGATGGAAGCCACCCTGACAAGCTGCTGCATCCACTGGAAAAGTCTGCAATTGTCTGATATGTGTGGATTATATTCCCCCTCAGCCCGACTGTTTTATTCCACTTCACTTCGGTTGCCCATGATCATTAGCAATCTTTCCACTCATGTCTCACATAATGAAGTGAATGAAGTGTCATTTTCAATCAACTGCTATGTTGATCCAACTTAATTAGTACTTTAGAGGATACAAAACAAGATTAGGTAACTCACGGTACTCGATTGCCAGAGTTGTTTGTTTTGCTTTTGAATTAACCCACAATTCTGCTGCTGCACAAACTTTATTTTTTCCTTAACATTTTTATTGGAAATCTCCAGTGCACAAGATCTGTGGC